TATCCTATCCTATCCTATCCTATCCTATCCTATCCTATCCTATCCTATCCTATCCTATCCCATTCCATTCTCAATCTATTCTATTCTATCCTATTCCTATTCTCTATTCTATTCTACAGTATTTCTAATTTCTGTTCTGTTCTATTCTATTCTATTCTATTCTATTCTATTCTATTCTATTCTATTCTATTCTATTCTATTCTATTCTATTCTATTTCTATTTCTATTTCTATTCCTATTTCTATTCCTATTCCTATTCTACATATATTTCTAGCTCTACACCTATGCTTCCCTACAGAGCTATGTGGTTGGGCTTGGTTTTGGGGGAGGAAAATTCTGCCTCTGCCTACCAGCATCCATTGGTATTTATCTGGCTAGCCTCCTATCAGTGTGTGAGAGGGTTGAGGGCTGTTTGGAAACTGAAAGAGTATTTGCTATGTGAGCAAGAAGGAGACAGCAAGGAGCCTGGGCGTGGCTTAGCTCAACTGTTCTGTACTAAAGCTGCTTGGTGCTCTGAAACTGAGACTGAAACTCCTCTGTGTTTTGCATTTGGAAGAGATTTCTTTCCAGGTGGGGAGGGGGAGCTTAATAACAACAGCAACAACAACAACAACAATAATAATAGTAATGATAATCATATAGGAAATACTCTAAATGGTCTGAAGGTCATTTGGAAAAATCCTTTCTTAGCGAGCCCTTAGAAGCCAAGAGGAACTTAATGTGCCAAATGTCAAGTTTTCAGGCTTTACGGTTCTGGAGATTTTGTGATGATACATGACTAAGTTGTCCGCTGCAGGGATTCACTTAACAACGGTGGCAAGAACAATCGTAAAATGGGGCAAAACCCGTTTAACAAATGTCTCACTTAACAACAGATATTTTGGGCTCAATTGTGATCATAAGTTGAGGAGTACCTGCAAAAGAATTGGAAGGGACCCTGGAGGTCTTCTAGACCAACCCCCTATACCATTCTAGACAAATGGCAGTCCAATCTCTTCTTCCAGTGAGGGGGGGGGGGGCACCCGCAACTTCTGGTGGCAAGCAGTTCCACGGGATTACATTTACTCCTCACCTCACAACCTTGTTTGGAGGCTATTCAAAGTGACAACGGCACTGAAAAAGTGACATATGACCTTTTTCTTCACACTTATGACCATTGGGAGAATCCCCGCAGTCACATAGTCAAAATTCAGAGGTCTGGCAAGTGATTTATACTTATGACGGTTGCAGCATCTCGGTATCACACGTGATTCCCCTTTTGTGACTTTCTGACGAGCCAAGTCCGGCGGGGGGGGGGATCTGGATTCACTTAACAACCATCTAACTTATCGACGGCAGTGATTCCCTTAATGACGGCGGCAAGGAAAGTTCAAAAACTCCCTGAAGAACTGTCTCGCTTAGCGGCAGAAACGCTGGGAGCTGAATCGTGGTGGTGATTTTTAAGTCCAATTAAGCCTGACGTTGTCCTCTCTGGCTGGGATTTTCTCCTTCGTTCTAGGTTAAATTCTCACTTTAAAATGCGAAGCGCCTTGGAAGGGGGACAGGGTTTTTTGAGTTGACTCGTAAAGCTTTGACACCCCACTGCACCAACTTTATGCAAACGAAGGCAATTCAACACAAGAGAACATTGTGCTATGTTCTGTTTATCCAAGCTTTACAGGTTTCCCGTCCCTGCTGGTCACACAGCGGGGTGAGACAAAACACACACACACACACACACACACACACACACACACACCAAAAAACAGCTTCAGGCTTCAGAGGCTGCAGGCTGGGCCCAGCAGGGACTGGGCTCAAGGAAGCCTTAGAGGAGACTTTCTCGGTCAAGGTTAACCCTTCCTCTGCGGAGCACGATGGTGCAGCACAATTTGGTCTCATGCTCCTGGCTTGTGGGAAAACCTGACCGCATCGGTACCTGTCTCCAATACCTGCATCCATACCTGTCTCCACCCAGAACTGTGCATGGAAATTAGGGGATGGCAGATCCCACCCCAATGTTAGAAGAGAAATAATTCTGTTGGAGAGCTAGACTCCCAGCTGTCATAAAATATTCCCATGGTCTTTTTAGAATTTTAGGACTTTTTAGAAAGGGGGGGGGGGTTGAAAGAGCAGTGCAGCAGCTGGGAAACCGAAAGTGCATTCCATACATAGCCTTTCAAAGATAGTAATTAGGTGACTGAAGTTTTTGCCCCGCAAAGATCTAACTGGAGAGCGTGATTGATGGCTCTGGGCTATGGATATGAATTACGATACACCCAGGGGGTGGGGGGAAAACCAGGGTCAAGGGTGGCAGTGAATGATGGGTCTCAGAGTCGGCTGCACCCAGGCAGTGCCAGACCTATTAACTCCCAATAAATCCTTTTTGGAAGTTTTGCTCGAGACTCATGATTTAATTGCGGGGTAACTGCCGGAATCCTGACACCAGCCGGGAAGAGGGGTCAAGTGGGAAAGTAGCCTGGGCTCATTATGAAACCACAAGCTGGTGAGCAGGGCATCTAACACCAGCAACTTTTAAAACCCGTGGACTTCAACTCCCAGGATTCCTCAGTCAGCATGTTACTTTCCCATTTAATTGTCACACCATCTAGTCTGCCTCTAATTCGTTTGTTATTTAATTTGTTATGGTTTATTTTTTTTTAACTTGGCTGAAATCAAGGTGTCAACTCGTAAAGCATTCCTAGCCTCCTTTCGAGTTGCCATAGGGAGGGGGGTATACCTCACCAAAGCGTCTCCAAGGTTACCAAGCTAGTTGGAGAGGCGTGGTCTCTAGAGCCTGCGAAAGTCGTTGAAAGTCGGAGAACGTGATTTATGGCATATTAGCCATGAGATGCTCTGGTTGGAGAAGGTGATTTATGACATACCCAAGGGGGGCGGGGGGGGGGGAACAGGGCAAAGTATGTGAGGCAAAGCTGGCTTCATTAGGATAAATGCCATGTTGCTCCTAATAAATAATTGGATTTCTTTTGAAGTTTGGCTCGAGGCTCATGATTTGATTAGGGCTTCCGTTGGAACCCTGACACAAGGTATATTACATCTACCGCATTCCCATGATCTACTAAGAAATTTTTCCAATTAAAAAAAAATGGTACATTTGTTCTTGTCCTATCTATGCTGAATTCTGGGAAACCCTCCTGGCTGGGGAATTCTGGGAGCTGAAGTCCACAAGTTTAAAGTTTCCAAGGTTAGACACCCTCACTTTAGAGCCTTATTTGGTCATTTCAATGTGAATGCTGCCAGTCTGCAGAAGATTCCGGTACTATCCTGTTTCCCCCAAAATACGACCTACCCTGAAAGTAAGTCTTAGCTTGATTTTTAGACTTGTACCCAATATAAGCCCTACCCCCAAAATAAGCCCTAATTAAGATCCCACCCACTTGAGTGCATGGGTAAAAATTAAACTAGAGCGGGGATGGGGGAATCTGCCCTATTACTTACCTTTGGACAGTTGTAGCCAGGCCTCGCACACCCTAACACTTGCCTCGCCATGGCCCATTTCTTCTGCAGCCAGCAAGGTTGGCAAGGCTTTCCTGAAGGCCTCTGGAGCTGAGAACAAAGCTCCGGATCGATCCAGAACTCTGTTATCAGCTGCTGAGGCCTTCAGAAAAGCCTTTCCAGCTGCAGAAGAATAAGTTCCTGAAGGCCTCTGACAGTGAAAAGGAGGCCGGGGGTGACACACACAAGTGAGGTTAGTCAGTGGATGACTTTCCCCCCAGATAAGACCTGGCGCCATTTTTGGTGGGGGGAAAAATAAGACAGTGTCTTATTTTGGGGGAAACACGGTAGTCTCTCCTAGACAAACATTCTGGGAAGATTCCTGTACTATAGGCAGAGAACAATGAAGTAGCTAGTTTGAAATCTACACATATAGATCTGGTTGTTCAAACCTGACAAGGAGAGTCTTTGGGAGAGTGCCAAAACTCACAACAAGATGGTTGTGACCGCACAATGGAAGCCCTGCTTCTTTTAATGTGGCACCCTGCAGCCACCCTCACAATTTTTTCTGAACCACCTCGTACCACCCTGGCCATCTAAGGTTGGGTTGAGGTCCACTTTAAACTGGGCGTGTTTTTCTAAGGATGTGTTGGTGTTGTGCCATTTTTGCCGCTTATCGAATCCACGTCAACCTGCGGACAGTGGAGATCCTGCACGCCCTCAAAGAAGGTTACAAGCTCGACTTATGGGGGAAGACAGAGCTGAAGGTATCACAAAATTGTATTTCAAATGTGTCTTATTTTTGGGGAAACATGTTATAGGGAGAGAACAATAAAGTAGTCTTTGTAATATTTGAGGGGCTGCCTTAGAGAGGAGGAAGGGGGTCAAGCTATTTTCCAAGGCCAGGCAAGGAATAATGGATGGAACCTGAACAAGGAGAGATTCGACCTGCATATAAGGAGGAATTTTCTGACAGGGAGAACCCTCAACCGATGGAACAGAAGTTGCCCTCGGAAGTTATGGGAGCTTCATCCCTGGAGGCTTTCAAGGAGAGACTGGACTTCCATCTGTCAGAAATGGTGTAGAGTCTCCCGCTTGGGCTGGGGGTTGGACTAGATGACCTACAAGGTCCCTTCCAACTCTGATTATCTATTAGTCGGCTTGAACCTTAGATGGGTGGGTCTGGTTGTTCTCCCCTGACACTTCCTCGTAATTCAGAGCAGTTCCAGGGTGAAACCGATGACCCAGGAGCGATGGATCCTTTCCTCTTCACTGGATGTGTCCAGCAGAGGTTGGTCAGTGCAGCGGGCAGGCTACGGACTCACGGGTCATACCGCCCTATCCAAATCTGGACCTCTGATTCTACCCCTGCCTGCTTTTCTCCTCCCCGCTACCCGCAGGATAAAGAGCAATAGCTAAAGCAGCTCGGATAGCTGGCTAAAAGCAGACGCCTTAAATCCAAGCCCCCTCCCTTCCCCTCGCCTCTCTGCGGCCAGGGGCAGCTGCCCAAAGCACATGTAAGCACGGCCTCCGGTCGGCTTAAGGGGTTTTGCATTTTTTTTAATCCACTAACAGCTAAGCCCTGGTCCCTTGGAACCCGACCACGTTTTTGAAAGATTCATATCGGGCGAGATTAGCGGCGTGAGGCCGCCCAATCAGAAAGACATCGTTCTTAAACCCGGGTCAAACTGAAATAACGCCACGGGGCAAGCGCTGGAGCTTGAATCAGCTTTTGGAAATGTCACACCGAGCTCGGACATCTCCCAAGCGGGGCTTGCTTTTTATTGATTTAGTTAGCAGATTTTTAAAGCTGCCCATCTACCCCACAGAGGTTTTGTTCCTGGGGGAAACGGAGCAGTAACTCCCATCCTCCCCGCACTCAGTGTCCATATTGCCTGGGGATGATGAGGGTCCAAGTTCTCCTCGGTTTGGAATATAATTTTCATAGGGTCATACCGGGTCCACCCCGCTGGCCTTTAGAAACGGCCAAACTGGGTTTCTGGAAGACCTCAGGTGGGTTTGCAGCAAGTTAAAATTACAGTCCTTGGCTTACAACAATTCATTCAGCGACCATTCGAAGTTACAACAGCACTGGAAAAAAGTTACATGGGCTGTTTTCACACTTATGACCGTCGTAGCATCCCCCAGGGCCATGTTAAATTTAGACAGTTGGCAACTGACTCAACAGGCGCAGCGTCCCGTGGTCATGCGATCCCCTTTGCGACCTTCTGACAAGCAAGGTCAATGGGGGAAGCCGGATTCGCTTAACAACCGTGTGATTAACTTAACAAGACATTCACTTAACTATGGCAAGACAGGTCATAAAACGAGGCAAAAACACACTTCAATGCTGCACTTAGCAACAGAAATGTTGGGCTCAATTGTGGTCGGACGTCGAGGACTCCCTGCACAGTATTTTACAGGTAGTCCTCGACTTACAAAAGTTCATCTAGTGACCAAAATTACAACAGCACTGACTGAAAAATGTGACTTGTGAGCGTTTTTCAGACTTACGACCGTTGCAGCACCACGTGCTCAAAATTCAGCTGCTTGGCAACTGGCTCGTACTTATGACCGTCACTGTGTCCCAAAGTCATGTGATCCCCTTTAGTGACTAGCAAACTCAATGGGGGAAGCCGGATTCACTTAACAACCAGCTTACTAACTTATCAACTGCAGTGATTCACTTAACAATCGAAGCCAGGAAGGTCGTAAAACAGGGCAAAACTCACTTAGCAAAGTCTCACTTAACCACATACAACTTTGGGCTCCATTGTGGTCCTAAGTGAAGGGCTACGTGTATTTATCTTGCCTGTAGCTTTTGTACAATTTTATCTTTTCAATACTGTTAAGCTGCCCTGTGGCAAGACAGGCGATCAATCAGGGTGGATAAAAATCGATTTAATTTAAAAAAAAAACACAAGATTTTTTTTAAATCAAATTTATTTTAATACAATGCTTTTGGAGTAAAAATCTATCTAAAGATAGTTTTCTTCATGTAGCATGAACTGTATATCTATCTATCTGTCTGTCTGTCTGTCTGTCTGTCTGTCTGTCTATCTATCTATCTATCTATCTATCTATCTATCTATCTATCTATCTATCTATCTATCTTCTATCTATTTCTATTCTATATAATAAAAGTGAAAGATGACTCATGCATCATCACAAAATCTCCAGGACCATAAAGCCTACAAACTTGGAATTTGGCATACATGTTCCTCTCGGCTTCTAGGTGTTCACTAAAAAAGAATTTTCCGAAATAACCATCAGATCATTTAGAGCATTTCCTGTACTACTACTACTACTACTACTACTACTACTACTATTATCACCACACTCTGATGCTAAGGAGTTCTACGCCCCCTCCCCACCTGGAAAGAAATCTCTTCCAAATGCAAAACACAAGCAGAGGAGTTTCACTTTCACAGCACCAAGCAGCTTCAGTACAGAACAGCTGAGCTAAGCCACGCCCAGGCTCCTTGCTGTCTCCTTCTTGTTCACACAGCAAATACTGTTTCAGTTTCTAAACAGCCCTCAACTCTCCCACACACTGACAGGATGCTAGCCAGATGAATGCCGATAGATGCTGGTAGGCAGAGGCAGAATTCTGCCCCCCCTTATTTTCTTCCCCCAAAACTTAAGCCTGACCACATAGTTTTCCAGAGAAGCACAGGTATTCAGCTAGTTCTGTAATATTGAAACTGTTGTTGAGTCAACAGCAGGTCAGAGGAAAAGTCACTGCAGGACAGAGATGACAGTTACTCTTTAAAAATCATGATTTAAATTGATTTGATTCAAATCAAGCGTTTTTTACTAGTAATTTAAATCGTGATTTAAATCAATTTGATTTAAATCAAATCCACCCTGATCACAATGGACCCCCTTCCCCAAACATTTCTGTTGCTAAGTGAGAAATTTGTTAATCTGAGTGTGGCTCCATTTGATGACTTTTCTGGCCACGTTCGTTAAGCAAATCACTGCAGTTGTGAAGCAAGTAACAACAGTTTTAAGTGAATCTATCTTTCCCATGGCTTTGCTTGTCAGAAGGACGCCCTTGGGATGCTCCCACAGTCATAAGTACAAATCACTTGCCAGGCATCTGAATTTTGATCACGTGGCCACAAGAATGCTGCAGCATGAAATATCGTCATAAATTAGGGTTTTTTGGTGTCATTCTAACTAAGTGAATGGTTGCAAGTCAAAGACAACCTGTATTCAGATTATTTAATCACTAGCTCGATCCCCATGCTTCGCTACAAAACTCTGTGGTCGGGCTTAGTTTTTGGGGAGGAAAATAAGGAGGAAAAATTTCTGCCTCTGCCTACCAGCAATCATGGGTATTCATCTGGCTAATGTGCTGCCAGTGTGTGAAAGAGTTGAGGGCTGCGTGGAAACTGAAAGAGTATTTGCTATGTGAGCAAGGAGACAGCAAGGAGCCTGGGCGTGGCTTAGCTCAACTATTCTGGACTAAAGCTGGTTGGCTGCTGTGAAACTGAAACTGAAACTGAAACTCCTCTCTTCTGATTGTCTTTTGCCTTTGGAAGATATTTCTTTTCAGGTGTGGAGGAGCATCAGAGCATATTAATAATAATAATAATATAGGAAATACTCTAAATGCTCTGAGGGTCATTTCGAAAAATCCTTTCTTAGTGAGCCCCTAGAAGCCAGGAGAAACATAATGTGCCAAATTTCAAGTTTGTAGTCTTTATGGTCCAGGAGATTTTGTGATGATGCGTAAATGGCATTTCGCTTTTATATATATGGATTAAAAAATAATAATTTAATTTAATGTATTGGCCGGCCCATCTTGCCAAAGGGTAACTCTGGGCAGCTTAAAAATATTGAAAATTATACAAAACCTATACAGGGAGTCCTTGACTTAGGACCACAATTGAGCCCCAAAAATTATGTTGTTAAAGTGAGACGGGACTACGCCAAAGACTACCTACCCTGGGCTTCTGGTTCTGATTTTCAGTGGTTATTTATAACAATAATTAATTGCAATGATAATGAATAATAATAAATTACAATTCCAATAATAAAAATAAAATAACAATAAAGTTATATAATAATAAATTACAATCACAATAATTAATAAATAATAATATATTACAATTACAATGAATAACAATAATAATAATTATGGGAGCCCAAGAATAATTCTGCGCCCCCCCTCCCAACAAGGAGCCTGGACGAGGCCTCTGAGCGCGTGTAGAGGGCAGTTCTCCCCCATGATGTGGGGGGGGGAGCCTGG